TGTGTTTTGACTTTGGAATATCTTGAAATGCACCAAAGGTAATGATAGGAATGCCATCTTCTTTAAGCCCCTCGTCTGTGCTGATGAAATTGGGAAGAGGGAAAACAGGCAGCCATGTCTTCCAGTGTTCTTTCAGGAAGTCTGGTGGTGGATAGTCGGTTAGAACAGGGATTTCAATGCCAGTTGCACAAGACAGAGCTTGTGGATAAACAATGTCTCTGACATTTTAGAGAAAGGTGGAAAATTATACAGAAGATACTTGTCTTTGTTTAAATACTTGGAATTTGACAGGGAAGAAGGAAACACTGGGAACAAATAAGCCTTTTCCATGTCCTGTTTGAATAACAGGCTCAGAGTTACAGCCTTCGTCGACATGTTTCAGACGCTGGGCAGTCAAACAGACAATGAACCTTTGCACTTTCATCACGTGAAAGATTTCGCAACTGACCCTCAGCCAATCAGAGGAGGAATGTCAATCAGCTTCCTCCAACTGAATGATCAAAGCATAATTATACAGTCAATTYCATTAACATTGTTTGCATAAAATGTTTTATTAAGCGGAGGACTTTGATTTAAAACTCAAAMAAGTTGAATGTTATTGATTGTCATAAATTATTAAAACTTGAGGTTGAATAATCTTGCAAATAATACAAGTATGATATATGCAATAGACTTGGTTGTTGTCGAACAACGTTATTGGGATTGACTGTATGTACACGCAATAAAGGCTACTGCAATYATTGTGGTGAGAAAAAGTTGGTCATGCCTCGGATTTATAAGAATATGAGGCATAACGTTACTAATGATAAATCTCTATCCAGACGTTTCGCCTTTGCTGGCTTCTTCAGCGGATGTATACATAAATCGACGAATCTGAATATTGTAATGAATGAGAATGTAATGATAATGTAAATAAACTAGTATTTTCGGCCGTAGTTTTATTGTGATTTAGTTAAAAGTATTGGTCAACACATTTGTCAAAGGTGACTTCTCGCATCTATTCAAGTCACGTTTACTTTCAAGAAGTACAAAATACTACCCATAATACCATCATAGAATTTAAAGGTGGCACTACCCAAATAACAAGATTATGTGTAGGTAACCTAAAATGAAGAATACAGCAAAATAGACACACAAAATTTTAATTTTATTGTGCAATAGTCCACTTCGCGGATAACACAGCTATTAGAAATTGAGCAAATATCGAAAAACTATTACCACCACTGGAAAGAACAGTATAAAATTAGTATGTTTACCAGGTTTGGAGCATGATTCGATGAAAATTCAAGGAGATACAGCGTTTAAAAGTCGGCAAAATTTACAAAGAAATGTATGGGCTGCCGGCATGAGATCGAGGTTGACCTTGACTTGTTACAACCTCACCAAACATTTCTATGCAAAATTTAGTGTTTTTGAAGTGCCATATCTCTTTGAATTTAAATCAGATTATTTTCAATTTTGGCAAATTTGCTGATTTTATGACGCTCTTTCCAGCGATGTCAATGATTTACCATAACAACGTAATGTAAACTTTCGAATTATCCGTGAAATGGTGTATTGCGTGCCCAATATCTTAAAACAGTGCTGGAACCGCTGCCCTTTGCGGCGAATGACGGTTCTCTGTTATCTACGATTGTCGCGGCTGTACGTNTATCAGCACGCTACAAAAGCTACAAAAGAGTTGAAAAGTAAATTTCATGCACGCTTTTCTTTTATATTATCTCACCGATTACAAGACCATTTAATGTAGTATTTTTGCCAAGGATAAAATTGAAAACCAAATCTCCTGGCATGACAACAATAGAAGTCTTTAGAATTTCACGTATTTCAATCAGTAGTTCAATCAATTTATTTCACGTCATATATTTCAAGAATTGCTCGCGGCTTAGCGAGTGGTTTCACTGCAAAATTTTGAACATTTTATGACGTCAATAATAGTACATACAACGAAAAACCGTATGCAATTTGTTTGTTTTTTTTATTACATTTTAGTCTGAAAATTAGCGAAAATCATTCTTTTCTTTCAACTGAGCGCACACACGAGACGTGGTTTCAGCAAACTGCGCATGTCCTCTTATTGACACACAGMCAATCAGCGTGCGAGAACTAACACAAGTGTGGTAAAAATAAAACTATTTTACATTTCAATGCCAAATTAAAACTATATATGTGAGGAGAGCTTAAGAAACGCTCAAGGGATTATATTAAAAGCTCACCAACAAATAACTAATTAACTTTTAACAAATTTAAATTTGTATCGGTTTTCATTTATGCATATATTCATCCCTAACATAGTATAAATAGATTTCATAACGCAACCCTAAAATAGCTGGATGCTTTACAACCATTTATAGAAACTTGACAACAGAGCTTATGCATCAGAGCTCTTGTTATCACGAAATATAATCACTAAAACAGCATTGACTTGTAGAGCAAGTAAGGGATTGAACATTTCACCAGTAGTAACAATTGGGATGCGTTTGGGAAGAGAGAAAACAGGCAGCCAYGTCTTCCAGTGTTGAATATCAATAGKTCCAAATTTAAAAGATTCTACATTTTCTGAACACTTGTTTGGATTGTAAACATGCCATCGCTATATACTAACAGTAAATATGTTGTTCATCAATAATCTGATCTGCCAGATTGTAGTATTACCGTCTCCAGGACGAAGGACTGCTGCAAGGTTATAAAATGAAGCGACTTTATTTTATTACTTTTTTTTCACGTCTCAGTTTAAAAATCCCAAGGGACCCATAATCCAGAGTTCCAAGGTTCAATCCTCGACTCGAGCACKCCTGAAAATTCTTTTTTATTATTACAAGTATATTAGCGTAACCTGGACACAGTATGTTCCACGAAGTGTTTCTTGTTTCTTTCTATATTTCGACAATCAAGTATATTAGCGTA